ATCGATTTTATAAATCAAATGTCTTTGTAAGATTTATTAGTAATAGTAGACACGTATGCTTAAATATGTATATACAAACTTAATATCCAACAAATGCTATGAATGCTAAAGATATTTAAAAGTTGGACAGACATAAAATCATTTTCACTTTTAAACTATCGCGCTGCATTATCAAATACTTATAATACCGGGTATTAGAAACGTCGGCGCAGGTCAGTGGAAAATCGCGTCTAATGCCCGGTATTATAAGTATAAAACTATTTTAATAGCACAGTAACGAAAAAATTCAAAGATGGTACTATAGTTGCAAATTTACTGAATCAATAATTAATATTTCTTTATATGAAAATTAACATCCAATCGAGTTTTACATCGTAAATCGATTGTAAACTTAAAAGGAGCTGCTTTCAGGAACTTCGCCCGTGTTTTTAGAAGCCGTATGTTATAGTTTTCCGTAGGTGAAATAATTTTCAAATCGTTCCAGTAGTATCAGAGCCTGAGTGGTAAGTGTACCTAAGTTTTACGCTAACGCGTTCACTAGTGAACGCGTTAAGAATATGTATGGAGATTTGTAGTTCTTGGTAGTTACCGCTAGGGGCGCTGTACCGGATTCCATACTAAAATCTTAACGCGCTCACGATCGAAAGTGAACGTAAACGTCAAAAAAACTTACACTAAGCACTCAGTTCTATGCAAACAAAGAATCATCTTTTCTCTTCATAATATTAGTGTAGTATTGTCCGTATTCGAAATTTATATGGTTTTGTACTGTCCAATATTATATATCTATTAATATGTCTCCGTCCCTAGACACATTACCCGCTTCAGCGCACATTCCACTATATATTATCAAAACATAAAAAATAATCTTGCCTCGAGGTAGTAAGATATTTACATTTTTTCGGGAGAATATACGATTAAAAATGATGAACGATTATTACTGCCGCCGATGTGATATTTATCAAAATACATAATATCGATATCAAAAGCGGAAACATGATATCGATTAATAATAAGTCGAAGTCATGGTATGAATATAAAGATTCTCAGACAAGATGCATACACATAATTTAGTTTTAATTATGGTTCCTTGACCTGTAATTAAAATATTTTTGTTTGTACTTCATTGCGCATAGCTTTTTTGTTACAAACGTAGGAGACGGGTACACTATATTTATAGATACACTTATTACATAAATTAAGAGTATTGCGAACTCTTTATCACGTTTATTTAACTTTATATAATTACATGGCTGATTAATTTAGTCAAAGTTGACTGATGGTTTTGCAATTGCGTAAATGATGTAAAAAAATATGTAGGTGCTGCAGTTTAGGTGTTCATTTAATTAATTATATTAAATTATCAGTATCTCTATCAAATAGAAATCATATTTGTCAGGAAGTAAAGAAAATAACATCTGATAATATAAATGAAAATATCACAAAGGAAAATTGACCTTAACGCAATAATTTTCCGCAAAACAAACCACATGATTAATAGAAATAAATTAATACGTGTCTATTATATTTATGGATGTGGACGGTAAAGTTATTTATAAAAACATATTGAGTGGGCCATTCCTTAATCTTTCAACAATAAATTAAGCGTTGGCTTGATATATTAGTAGGTGGGTGAAGCGGGGCACAGGGCGCCGCCCGCCCGCAAGCGCGCGTGCTCCGAAAGCGCCCGAGGACTTACGATCGTTTCACTCCGAATCGTAACGAACCTCCGACGACGCGTGCTGGCAGTCGCAGCGGGGCCGCCGGGGCGTTGGAGCGGTTCACTGTACGCCTAGTGTTCGGTTATGTAACTGAAAAAAAAAATTATTAACATAAACAAATTAACCGCCGGTGACATCGAAATTATTCAGAAGCTGAATTAAATCAATTGAAACTTTAATTTTATTAAGTGCAGAAGTGATGTGTACGCCTATCCTTGTGGCAATACGACGTCGGAACAGGTTTACCGTTTCATTCGAAAAATAAAATTGAGTTATTCTTTCATTAACGTAACATATTTACCATGAAATTAATATAATGTTGTAACTAGCAAACAATGAACAATACTAAGCTTATGTTTTTAAGACGTTGTAATTGTTTACGCCTAAATGTATAGGTTAACTGTTGTGACAATTAAAATGAATACACTCAAAGCGAAAGAGACAAATGTATTTGTGGTAGAATAAAAAATAATATTTATGTGAACTATTGATGAATCAATTAAAAGTACAAATAGATTCATACCAATGGGAATTTGGCGCAATGCAGGACGCTGAATGAAAACGACTAGCAGTTGCGGAGCCTCATTCCAATTCCATAATTGCTTAGACAACTCAGTCGGTATAGATTTACATGCAAGAGAGATTAGTGCCCTTTGAAATAATTCAATCGAGATTTAATGATCTGGTTTGAGATACAATATTACAGGAAAAATGGGATACAAAGTAAAACTATTTATAAAGATGATATATGAGATTAAAGAATATGTTCCTCAATCACTTCTCATAAACAAGAGGTTAATTTTATAAGTGATATGCAATTGATAGTAAATGTAATTACAAAATTTTATTGTTAACATATCGTTAAAATATAACTACTTTATTGAAATGTATACATTTTTAAACATTATAATAATTATTTTGCAGAAAGAACCAAAGTTGAAAACAAACTTTAACCCATTTTGATTCATTTAAAACATTTTGAAATGTTACCAATCTAAATAATTATCTCAATAACGACAAAAATAGCAATCTGGAGAAATTTAACGAGCACAATTTATCAGTTCCAGTGGAAAATTAAAATCCACTAAGTTCCCGGCATCTGGTTACCGTCTAAGTGGAATTGTTCATGTAAAATCAGGGAGGAAATTGAAAAGTCGAAAGTTATTATTATTATAATATCAATTCAGTGGTCCAAATCATATTATTGCAGAATCTCTTTTTGTATAATCACGTCTATTATAGATTGTTGGTTACTCACTGCTTACATGCAATATGAGACAGACTTTATGACATTAGTCAGAAAAAGTGAGATAACAGTCCAAATGCTGTATAGCCTTGGTATAACACTTCACGCCCTACTTCACATGGGCAACTTTGAGCCAGCTATTAGCTTAATTAAAACGCAACCATGGTACAGAAAGATATATTTCGTCATACATGACAAACTTTATACGACCCGAGTACATCTAAACTATAAGTCATAATAAAACCAAGTTTGATGAGAAAGTATCTCAGGACGCACAAGAAAGGGACGTTATAATGATTTGTGATTGTGACATACATAACTATACATAGAAAATGTATCGATGTCATTCCATTAATTTGCGATTCCGCGTATCAGTCTCTGATTTAGTCATTTTTGTAGCTGTCGTATAAGTATATTTACTTTTTCCCGTTTTCTAAGAATATAAGTCAAATTACCTTAGTAGTAAGAGTATTTACAAAAAATATATTTATTTAAAATGCCATATAAGTATTTTTCTATAAATTATATATTACTATTGTTAGGGAAAATATACAAGATTCCATATAAAAATATAATCTATTGCACTCAATATACAAAATCACTACATACAATAAAGTACCAAGTTGTATCATTTTAATGTCACTGCATTTCTTACTTTGTGAAGATATGTTGACAATTATTTTTCCATCTGACAACTTGTTATCGGCTCCCACTGAGAATACGACACTTCAATTGCAGATCATGGTTGCCCGCCGATCTCATCAATTTTTATTGAGTTCCAAACGTATATTTCTTTTGCGCATACCTATATAATAAAGTGGAAAAAAAACTAAACATCTGTATGTTCTTGGAAAGAATTTGAAAATATGGAAAAATCAATTCATTTGGGAGCAATATTTAAATGAAATAATATATTGATTAGTGTATTGCGATAGAAAATAAGCAGTAGAATAAAAAAACATAGTTATTATATCGAATCAATTTTGGGTTCGAGTCCCATCTCAGAGTGCCAGGAACAAAGTAGATTTTTTTTTAAATTCTACATTAAAAATAAAAGAATAGATTTTCAAATTATTTTCATTATTCAAGAGACAATGAAAATGATTAATAAATCGATCCAGTTGAGAGAAAAACTTTTGATTGAGTCTCATATTAAATTTGAGTTTGATTAAATATAACAGGAGCCTGTTTTTAGAAGTTGTTATTTCAATTTTGTTAACTTGTACTACATAATCTTAAAACGATAGTCCATTGAAAAAGAATAGTAAAGTTTATTTGTCGATGTCGTTAATGTATGGCTATATTATTGAGGTTTGAAAAAATAAAAGTTGAGAAAATCATGAAAACGTATTGAAATCATATTTTAGGTAATAAACAATTGGTCATATTAGAGTTATTAAACACGATGAAAATCATAAAGAACTAGATTATGTTTTAGAATAGGTAATACTCGGGGCGGGCACCAGCATATAATACCATGACTAGATGACATTCCCTGTGACGGTAACGAATGGTATTATGGTAACCAATAGATAATTAAAATAATATGGTTTTCCATTTCACGTAGGTATTTAACAAATTCCATTTTCATCATAGTTGGTATTCACATACATGGCGAAATAATAAATAAAAAACTGGTAAATTCCGCTCACATTCGTACATACCAAATTATTAGATTTGTATAATCGTCTTAATAACATAAGCGACAATAATGAATTAGACAAATATGTATATATAATTTCAGGATTGCAATATATGAAGACGAAAATATAATAAGATATGTAATTGAAGAGTAGCCACTTTAAGTGTTCATTGTTTATTTTTTTTGACTTTGCTTGTAATAAATTCATAAGTAATAATAATCCACGTGATAATGAAGTGATAACAAAATGACTTAATTAATAAGAACATTAAAAACATACAAATGTGTTATAAAAATACAAGTTTTAAAAGCGGAGGGTAGTTGGGAAAGGAGTTTTGGTGATACGTGATGAGGTGACGCAAGCGCCGGCCGCTGACGCCGCTCCTCGCCAATGATGGTGGAGACGCACCGCGCGCCGCCGCCTCGATGTGCGCGCGCGCCCGAGCCTCGCACCAAGCCTGCATCTGCTTCCGCACCCCCCTCGCTTGCTGGCAGCGGCACTGTTATGCATTTACGTCGACGCCGCCACAAGACTGTGCACTTCGGCGAGAATCTTTTGATGCAGGTTTGCGCTGACCGGGCGCATTTGGCAGCTCTAGGCGCGCGGATACCCGATGTCTCCTTCTGCCACAAAGCTCACACTGGGCTTCGCAAGGGAGATGCTAGATTCTGTTGTGTGGCCCATCATTGCTGTCTGGCTGCTGGAGCTCTCGTTGCTTTGACTTCGAACGGGAAACCCAAACCGCGCAGACAACGCAGTGGTGATTCACATTCGAGCGGTGGTGAAACTGCGGATAAGGGGGAGGGCGGCGGCAGTTCAGGAACAAAGGAACTGAAACGTAAAACTAAGCATCATCATCATCATCATCATCATCATAAAGTTCACAGTTGTCCATATCATGATGTGGCCCCACCCCCTGAAGATGAACCGGAAGAAAAAGCAATTGTACCGAAGAAAACTGTTTCGCCTTATCTCTATATACCTAGCAAATTAGAGCCGAATGTACAACAATTATTCAGTTTTATAGAAAGTGTTTTGAGTGCATGGGCTGCCGAAGAAGGTCTTACGAGTACAGGGGAATATTCAGAGCCTGACGAACGCATTGTACGCCGACGTAAACTGAATAAATACAAAAAACGTACAGACGTACTCAACATACGACGAATAGTTTATGAAGTATCGATTTTACAAGGCACTAAATTACTAGGTAACGTGAGGTTTCGACATTACCATTGGAAAGGAACTGCACAAACATGCAATGAAGCGTTTTTAAGGAAGGTAAGTTAGTTTTTTAATAATAGTCTACAATGTCTGAAATTTAACTTTGTTTCGATAATACTATATTTATGGTATTAATTTTAATTTATCCATATATTTTCTTGATATTTTATTCATTCAAATTTATTGTAACTTTTTCGTAATCCTTACATAGAAAAAACGCTCTACATTATAAGAGAACTCGTTTCCTAATATAGAGTATTTTATATCTTTTGAAGACGATTGCGACCAACCCGCGATTGTCCTACCCATATAATCATATAAAAACTTTCTTGACAAGTTTATGTGGTTTATCATAGCGATTTATCATATATTTTATCCTATTGGGTTTGTGCTAGTTTACTTTCCAATATTTTAATTAGCAGACATTAAGCGGTCGAAATTTCACCTCAAATATTAAAGTAGAAACATCACTCAGAAATTAATAATTTTTGGGATGAAATAGAACAATACAATTAATTAATCATTAAGATATCGATAAGCAAGATAATAAAATAATGCTTAATTTATAGTATATGCTTCATTTGAGCAGTATTGAAGGTAAAATAGCCATTGAAATTACTATTTGATTAATGAATCTTAATATAAACTACAATACAACGTTTCTATTGTGTCATTAACAATAAGTAAGCAGGAGGTTAAAAACTCCGTAGAAGGCAGATAACATTTTGACCTTATTCTAGTTTCCTCCTTGGGAAACTGCAATTTCCTTTTTTGCTAATGAGGGCTTTTATTTACTCTCTCTCTCTAAGAGTGTATAAATATTTAGTCTGCTTTCTCCATTTGCTTGGTTTGGCGAATTATTCATACAAAATCTTTTAAAACTTAATCATTTCCTTCAAATTAATTATTATCCTTTGAGATTATTTCATTCCTGATTTTCATAATACCCACGTGCGGAGTTTGCTAAGAACACGTTTTTTTTTCAATCTCCTGAATTGTAATCTTTTAAGAAGTAAAAAGCTTCTTACGGATTGTAGCATTTCTTGCGAAGTACACATTTCTCTGTAACAAGGATGGAGTTATAAACCCATACATACTTTTCAAACAAAGTTATGAATTTGTTTTCTACGTCTTTCTACCTTATTATTTCCAGAGTTTTCATATTTTTCGCTGAGTGCGTTTAAGTACATACACATTTCTCGAGAAACGTTGTAGGTTTGATGTCGTATTATTCGTGAAGCAATTTTAGTTACAAGAATGAATAGTTGTTTAAGTTTCACCAAAAGAGACTGGATGACTTGCAGAAGTAAAATATTTCATGACGAAGTAGTTTCTAGTAAGTGTGGTGCTGTTGTAGATACATTAGACGTTGTGCAGCTAAACGATCCCGAAGTAAAAGTTTGTTTCCGAACTGCGATTTCCACGAAACTAAGCTTAGCTAGAAATATTATACCTGTAACGGTATATTCCTAGGCGGAGTTCTGAAGTGTCAAAGTGATAAACAATTGCAATTCCATTTAAAATACGTAACAATGTTACCGAGCCGTGAAACTTTTTTACAGGTTTAATTTCAGCCGGCAGGTTCATTTGCATAAGTGATTCTTAAGTAAATTTACTGATTTAATATTGAATCGTTATTTAAAATAAATTTAATCTTTAAATAGAAACTAAAACATTTGCCACAAATATTGTCTCGTGTCATTAAGTTTTTGGGTCGGGAAAACATAGTCTTCTACTGAAATCAAATAATCTTAAACGATCAAACAATTCAGTAGTTTCAAAGAAAATCGGCTATCCATACGAACCGACAGGAAACAACGTGATCTTATTCCCATTTCCATTATCTGCATGGAACCCTAAAAACTAATGGAATACGCAAACTAAAATGCGTCGTTATTTTATATCCCGAAACGGTCTAAAATTATAATATATTTCATATTAATTATTGTTCATAACAAAAACTACAACAAATAGCTATAAGATTTTACAACGAATTGACAAATAATACAAATGAAATAGAATTATGGGATTGAGAATATTTTGTTGTTTTCTCGCAACTTGTCCGCGTAAAATTATATACCCACAAATATACCCGTAGGTCCAAAATTTTATGAAACCGATGCAGTAGTTTTGCCGATGAAGTAGATATTAAGTAACAAAAATGAACTGGGCATGTATTCTTAAGGGGCTGAGGACACTGAATGATTTTTAGATATCGACACGCCCCCTTACATAATTACAGGTGACTACGCTAGTGTGGGTTAGCTCATTGCACGTTCCTCAGAAGAATAACAAATGCCTATCGGTTAAGCGCCAGCAGATAAACTTTGTACTAATAACAATGACGTTTTATAACCATCAAGTGCTTTGAGTTAGCTGTCTAAAGTGCTTACACAATAGGTGGCGCTGAATTTTTTTAAAAGAAAGGAATAATTTCTTTTTACTCCAGATTTTTATGGGGCTTAGAAAGGGCAAGTATGTTTTTTCTTTTTGGGTCGACAAAATAACATGCTATTATTTTGTCTGTTTCATATATCAGAATTTTATTCTAATTCATTAATATTTTAAAAAATGCTTTGCATTGAATAATGAAAAGATTTAAAATTTAAAGATATATGAAATAACTATATAAAATCACTTATGATACCACACATTACATCACATTTCTTCACTCGATTTTAAACCTTAATGTAGTGAAGGTAGAGTTAAAATAATTGCGATAATTTGATAGTCTGTAGTAACCTGAGTTGCTGCTGTAGGTACCTGATAATGTCGGCCAATCAGAATAAACCAAATATCACGTCATGGCATCTAATCGGACGGACTTTCATACCTTATTCTCATTACAAGAAGAGTCATTATACATTTTAATTGTACGAATTTTTGGTAGGTCGGCTTTACGTAAACGAATATTCACCATATGCAATATTAATTGGAAGTCATTGTAGTTAGTACACATATCCATATCGAACTTGCCGGAGGAGGAGAAAAAAAGCAATTTTAGAATCGTTTTTATGAGAATATAGGGTAGACGCGCTTGTTTCTACCATTGTCTTGCTGTCGAACATTTCATGGCCCATTTAAAAATAATTAATGCTTTAAGAATTGGACTCTACCTGATCTTTGGACTGGAGTTAATAAAACATATCGTGTTTTCATAACTTGAAGAAAAGTTATTTTTTCCTCTAGCCATGATCCTTTTATGGAGGTGAAATGATATTTTGTAATACTGACGCATCATCAAAGTATAGGACTGGTTGACCGGTTAGGATAAAACCATTAAAACACAATCATTTTATTAATCCCATAAATATAGATGATTTCAAAGTTGCCGTCAGACATTTTTTATTTGATACTGGAAAGCGAACTGATTCAAAAACAATATCTTAAAAGTCTATCCATATTTTAAATAGTACATTAAGGATAAAGAGCTTGTAGGGAAGGCAAAGTCATCCAAATACACTCTTTTTATGAACTCCGAAACAATCATAACACTGCAATTATTAAATGAAAATTCACTAAAGTTTTTACAGATAAACTTATCATTGACTTAGATTGTTTTTGTCATGGAAAATGTATTTTATTTTAAAAGAAAATTGTCTTCGATTTATAAATAAATATATTCTTACACAACATCTGTAGCTGTAATTAAAAATATAGAGAAAAAACTGTTTTGTCCATCGAATCGCTATTCAGTCAAATCCCTATTAAGTAAGAATCCCTATATACTAAAATACGGTTAATAAATACATCGAAGTGCCTAAGGATTATGGGATATATGATAGCAAGACTATGCTAGCTGATTTTCATAACAAATAAGAACCATAATTATTGCCTTAACTTAAAAAATACTGAAGCCGTAATTTTCACGTCATTGTGTTGATTTGTAAAATGTCCACACCGTTACCCAGCAATAAGTATAACTGTGTCATAAACAATGTTTAATTTTATTTATAAATCCATTTTCTAATTGGGTTGTATAAGGATTTGCGTTATTTCTGTTACACGTTTTATACTTATAACAAATCTGCAAAAATATAATGTCTGTACATTGAATATATTTACAAAAAAATAAAGAAATTGAGGGTGGTTAATAAACAATAATAGAATACGAATTTAAAAAATATTGTCTGTTTATCTGTATGTACACGTTAATTTTCGGGACTACTGAGTATATTTGTATGAAACTTATTTTGTTAATACCTGGGCAATATATGGGGTATAATTAATTTTGGAAACTTAAACGTTTGATGCACAACCACAACAGACCAGCGACACCTTAAGAAAAAATTTTGTGCCTGATCAATATATTCTGCTAAGAGTACAAAAGTCAAAGATCCAGAACATATAATGTGGTCCTCAAAGATACTAGTTATACTATAACATCGGATAAAAATGACTTCTTAACAATAAATAGTTTTTTTATTTATTGTCATTTTTTGCATAAATACACATTGGCGTACGTAATGCCATGGCCATTTTCTACCAGTAAACCTTAGGATGATGTGGACACGGGGTTCTCTCTATTGTTGTACAGGGCAAGTTTGTGACCTTGTTGCGTACAACAAAACGCGGGAAAGGGAAAGATCTATGGTTAGCGATACGTATCGTTGTCTTTCAACGATCATGTTAATATTAAGGTTTATTGTCCGTTTTTTCGTCTACTCTAGAAACAGACAATGCAATGTGTCAAAAAGCTCTGATTAGATAATTTGGATTTAGTTTTAAATATATTAAAATTAACTTTGTACATAATAAGACGGCAACATCATTATCCTAATTTTATAGTAATTATTATTATATGTATGTATATACATACATAAATCATAAAGTAATTAATGATTTAATGAATTTCCTTGTTCCAAACAATAAAACATTTGCTATAGAATAACTTGTTTTTAGAAGCTAATTTATTGATAATTCTTGTAGACACAAGTAGAATGGAAATTCATCCCACAAAGAAATAGATTTGACGAAGAACGAAGAGTGAACGATTTCGGAGAAATGAGATGGGCAGAGAAGACGATTAGAGGAGGAACAAAGAGTTTTGGTGTGAAAGGTACATA